GGAATCCGGCGGTTTTGTCTTTCTAGTCTTCTTGTTATGTGTCTCTCTTTCCTCGATTCATTGAGGGATGATATTTGTTGAATCATTAGTCTGTTATATAGAAAATTTTCAAGAGTAGGGTTTTGAAACTCACTATGTATGGGTAATTCAATTCCATATGTTTCTTTCTATTGCTTGCACTTCAGGACTGTATTTCTTGTCTTTGGATTTCTTTTCATTCTGTTTTTCTTGTTTTAGCTGAATTGTGATATTCAGGCTATGCTATCTGTTGTTGGGTATTGGGCATTTGTACAAATAGATGATGATTGCTAGTGGAATTGTTTTTGTGTCTGTTAATGTGTCACTACTACAACAATTAAAATAAGACCAACTAACAAACTAATTAAAACCCTGACCCTAAAACTAAACTTACGGTATGAAGATAGAAAAGGAGTTGCTTGGTGGTTCCCTTTTGATCGAGGTGGAGTGGATGAATGCTGCTTTTATTTGATGGGTTGCAAACTTGCAATAGGGAGATTGAATGAGGAGATGCTACTGCTCGAGCTGGAGTTCGGACAATGCTACCAGGATAAATTGCTTTGAGCACTCAGAGACTCTATTAACAAAGATCGTACATGAAGAATATGTTAGTTCCTTTGTTCCTCTATTTTTTTTTTTTAATCTTTTAGCAATTTATTTGATTTCTTAAGGTATTTTTCTTGACTGTGGACTAATTTATTTTATTTTCTCTCAGGAATGCAAATGATAGACTATGGTATGGGAAAATGAGAATATAGACTGGGGCTTATGATCCCCCTCTACCATGCATTTGCTTATTTATTCAGGAGGAGATGGAAGTAGGAAGGTGATGGTGACAATGTTCGATCAATTTATGTTGATGCTTATGTGTTTTCATGGAATCTTTTAGATGCTTTCCATTTTAGAGAAATGTACTCTGTTCATGCTTGTTTCCGTTTAACCATCATAAATTAGTAGTTATACATAGATTGAAGATTTGCTGTTATATGTAGTAAAGTTTAATGTTTTAGTTGTACATGGGATTTGGAATTTTGGATATGAATGGTAAAGCAGAAGCACTTTGACTCTCTTGAAACATCTTGCTGACAGTCCAACCTGCTGATTTATTATAATGTGCCTGCAGGAAAAAGCTTGTTATTTTGCATATTTTGAATTGGACCAATTTCAGGCAACTCACAATGTAAAAATTCAGCTTCTAATTCCAGAAGGTGACATTTTTCTTGCATAAAAACTCTTACAAATAACAAAAACTGAAAAGTACATCATAATATCAATTTCATCATTTCATACTAGGGCTAATTCCTAAACTTTTATAATATGTTTAGATTGAGAGGAATGAAAGGAAAGGGAGAAAAATTCTTTATTTGATTTTAAGAAAATTTTAAAGGGAATAGAAAAAATTTTTCTTTATTTTATTTTTTTAATTTAATTATTTATCTAAATGAGGGGAAGCGACGGGAGGGGAATAAAAAAAAAAAAAAAATTTCTCCTCCCTCCCCTCTATTTCTCTCAATCTAAACATAAGGTTAGAGTATTTTTGGTTTGAAGGAAGTGTGGGAATAATACTTTGTTCAATCAACATGTGAGGTTGGCAATTTGGAAGCAATTAGGGTGTTCGATTTGAAAGAAATAAAGAAGAAAAAAAATGGAAATCTCTCATTGTTTGATCAGACTAAAATATATTAAAAAAGAATAAAGTAAAATAAGGGGAAATCCATCCTCTATTCTCTAAATTTTTGTTATCTAAACAAGAAATTCTCAGCTTTCATTCTCTTCAAACCAAAGCAACCATAATTTCTAGGAGAAAAGAAAGGAGGGATAACGTGGCAGATCTGGGCCCGGTTGTGGTTGTTTTCTTTTCTGTACGGACTTATCTGTTGGGCCCTTTTCTTATCGGTAGATCCAGAACGAAGAAATTGGGCCGATGTTAATCCATTCAACGAGCGGGCATCTCCTTCGTATAAAATATAAAATGCCTGTGCGCGAAGTCTATTCATGTGTTAATTCCCTCGGGGAAGAGATGGTATGTTACTCCACAAACTGAAGCGATTATTGCATACCAACTGTTCGATGAAATTTCCGTGAGTCTATGAAATTCGTATACTCAGTCTAATTCCTCCAAAAAATATTCAATGAATTGCTCCTTCTTACCCATTAGCCGGAGTTCCCTTGTGCCACTTGAAAAAAACTTCTTAAACAGCATCAGTGTGTCTCCGCCGGCGCACCTCAGTACCAGAATTTACCACAGAAAGCCACCCAGAAACCTCCGGTACCCACGGCACACTAAACTTCCTCCTGATTTCGGTGTCAACTTGTTCTTGAAGAAGCCTACCACCGATACTGATACTTCTCTAACGGATTCCATTCAAAGTGACCAAGATGATTCGTCGGAGGAGGAAGTAGAAGACCAGGATGGTGATATTGTTTGGGAATCAGATGAGATTGAAGCAATATCGTCTCTTTTTCAAGGCAGAATTCCTCAGAAACCTGGGAAGTTGGGTAGAGAGCGGCCTCTTCCACTTCCGCTTCCTCACAAGCTACGACCACTGGGACTTCCTACACCGAAGAAACATATTAGGTCGTCACGGGCATCGATATCGAAAGAAGTGTATAAGAACCCGAGTTTTCTTTCCGGTTTAGCCAGAGAAATTAAAGATCTTGCTTCTGATCAAGATGCATCTGTAGTTCTTTGTAAGTGGGCTCGTTTCTTGCGTAAAGGATCTCTTTCTTTGACAATTCGAGAGTTGGGTCAAATGGGACTTCCTGAGAGAGCTCTACAGACTTTCTGCTGGGCTGAGAAACAGCCTACACTATTCCCAGATGATAGGGTTTTAGCTTCAACTGTTGAGGTCTTGGCAAGGCACCATCAAATGAAAGTGCCACTTGACTTGAAGAAGTTTACTAGTATGGCAAGCCGGAATGTCATTGAGGCAATGGCCAGGGGGTTCATTAGAGCTGGAAGCCTGAAATTAGCTTGGAAGCTTCTCTTGGTTGCCAAGCATGGGAAAAGAATGCTCGATTCAAGTGTTTATGCAAAGTTAATATATGAACTTGGCAAAAACCCTGATAAACACCAGCTTGTAGCAGCCTTATTGGATGATCTTGGTGAAAGAGAAGATTTGAATTTAAGCCAGCAGGATTGTACAGCTATCATGAAAGTTTGCGTGAGACTCGGTAGATTTGATATCGTGGAGAGCTTGTTTAGTTGGTTTAAACAATCTGGTCGTAATCCAAGTGTGGTCTTGTACACTACACTAATTCATAGCCGTTACTCTCAGATGAAATACAGGGAAGCGTTGGCTGTGGTTTGGGAAATGGAGACCTCAGAATGTCTTTTGGATCTTCCAGCTTTTCGTGTGGTTATAAAGCTTTTTTTTGCTCTCAATGATCTTCCTAGAGCTGTAAGATACTTTGCCAAAATGAAAGAAGCAGGTTTCTCTCCGACATATGACATATACCGGGACATGATTAATGTTTATTTGGTTTCTGGGAGACTGGCAAGGTGTAAGGAAATTTGCAAGGAGGCAGAGATGGCTGGATTTAAATTGGATAATCATACTACTTCAAGGTTGTCACAACTTGAGAAAGAAATAAGGTCAGGCTTTTGAATATTCTTAGTGAAGATGTAATTTCCTTAAGTTGAGCCTTGATGCTGTATTCATGTTTGTTTGTGTATCATTATTTTAGGAGGAATTGGAACACAATTTATTAGGATATTGTACATCTTAATTACTGGGAAACTTGAAATTTCATGGGAAAAAATTCTATAAAATTCAAAAGAAGAAAAAGAGAGAGAGAGAGAGAGAGAGAGAGGGAATAAATGTCCCCAGTTTTTCTTGCAAGCTGAAATTTCAAGTTTTGTTTCCTGACTTTCCCATGCTTCCCACTTTTTCTGCTGTGTTCTTGGTTTGAGATGGTCTCTTTGAATAGATTAACTGATTTCTGGAATCTGAATTCCTATGTGTGATATCTCTTACTGGAAACATAAAGGATGTCTAGTTTAGACATATTTTATGGCTGTCATCATTTTGGTCATATTTAATACATGAATCTTACATCATAAACAAACAGATAAAGTTAACAATTGATTAATCTTTAGGCACTGACAGTTAATTGTATCAATCCACTTAAGCTTCTGAATATTAAAATTCAGCATTAGCTGCTTCCACACATCCTTTTCAAGATACTTCTCATATAACTTACTTCCCGGGTTGCTCTTATGGTCAGTGCTGCTGTGCTTCTTGTGCCATAACACCCCTATGTACCATAAATAGGTTAGATAAATAAAGAGACTTACCATGGTGAATTTTTCTTATGATCAAAGTTCTACTTCAACGAAGATAGAGTGAAGGTTGAATTCCCAGTGGAGAGCACAAATACCAGGTAACCTGCTTTTGTCAGCTTTAGTTTTGTCCTTCATTATTTTCACAATCATCTCCTTCAAATCTATCTCACCATCCCCATGCTTGTTAAGCAGTTCTTTGAAATTTTGTCTTAGAAGTAGAGCCTGCAGAAAAAAATTAAAAGAAAAAAATATTTTAGTAGTTTATTGGGGTTTGAGAAGGTTAATGGTTGATGATTTTTCCAGTATTAATTTCATGATGATACAAAATGGAAAGTAAAAGAATCATCCTGAAATTTCATGTACATGGCTGTCAATAATGTGTGGTTATTCCCTTTTCAGCCATATTTTTATTCTTATTGAGAAAAGATAATCTAACTTTTGCCAGGGTGAGTCAAGCTTTGCATTGGACAGCACATGAATGCCTGGAGAAACCTTTTGAATGAGAATGGGTTCTCCTTATGGTCTGTTGGAGACATAAACCATTGAGTTGGATTGGGTGTCAGCCAGTATCAGGATGAACACATTGTGCTGATATTCCTGTGTCACCAGTTCCTCTGCAGTGCAAATTGCATCAGACTCTTTTTGCTCTGAATTGATATAACTCTTAAGAGGAGATGTAGACCAAGAAACAAGAAAGCACATTTTGCTGTTTATAAAAGAGCAGAGAAGGATTGACAAGAATTGAAGACTGGAAGAGTAGATGAACATATTTGCTTATCTCCAAGAAAAGAACAGGAAGATCCCTATGGCTCTTTGCCTCTGGGAAGGAATGAAGCTCTAATACAATAGTAAGAAAAGCCACCCTGCCTTGTCTTGAACAGGCCAACCATGTCCTCTGGCAGTTTCATCCCTTCCTCCCTATATTTCTCCACCATCCCACCATGCCACTGGCTTTGTAGGTCTTGAACATTGAATGCAGTTAAAACCCCGTTTATCAGTACCAAGCAAACACATACAATAATCCAAAAAGAATATCCAAAATTTGATTGAAACAAACCAGCCAAATTCTAGAACTTGCCTGCTGTGGTATTTGTCTCTGTTTGTAGCAGCTGAAGTGGATGAGCTTGCCAAACAAAAGCAGCTATGAACATCATTCTAGCTTCAAACTATTGAGTCTAGGCACAGAACTGGGAGGGTGTGAAGTACAACACTGATCAGTATTAACAGAAACTCAGAAAGGTATTATATTCTATCACCCTTTGGCATGTGTTTGGTTGTGAACACTTTCAGTTGTTGCACTGGCTATATATAATCCCAACTGTCTTCTTCTTCTTTTTTTTTATCTATTTATTTATTTGAAAAAGCAATCTTTAATGAAGCTGAAAATGGACTAGTTTGTGGTTGGTTTCTAACAAACTTGGGGCCAAACCAAACGACTGCTTGTGAGGATTGTCAATGGGGTAGAAAATGCATTGAAGAGATCATCCCTTGTACTTTTTCTGGATAACATAACAGAATCAACTTTGTCCTTAAAAATGAGAGATGAGGTTGAATTTCTGGTAGAATTTCACTTTCTTCAGGGAATGTACTTTAGACCCCACACAAGCCCCACCACTAGAGCATTGAAAATGCCCACTTGCCTTTCAGGTCAAAATAATTTTTGCTCTTTTGCATTCAAATACAGTGTCCGTGAATGGTCATACATGGTTTCATAAATAAATTCTTCATTCTTATCTTCAAGAATGGAATTTGTTCTTCATTTTGCTTTATTGCCCCATTTAAAAGAAACCATTCCCCAGTTAGATATAGGAGCATAATGAAATTTAGGGCATGTTTGGTGCAGCTTGTTGGAGCTTTTGCTTTTTTGTATTGTTCATGAGTGATAAGTTTAAATTTTTATTGGAGGAAAAATTTAAAAGTTTCTTTTAGAGGTAGAAAAAAATGAGTAAAAAAAAAGTTTATGAAAAATTTGAATTTGAAGCCTCTGATCTTTTACTATTTAGAGGTTTTTTAAGATTAAAAAAATATTTAAAAATGTAAGTTTTTAAGAAGAAAATTTAAATTTATGAAATATGAATAGTATAAAAAAACTGAAGCACTTGGGAAGCCGCATCAAATGAACCCTTATTATCCCAGCCAAGTCTGATCTCAATTTAGAAATTGGAGGTGTTGCCTCTACAAAAACTCCTGAATTATCCAAAGCCTGAGCATAATGGCTCTGCGTGTTGAATGATCATCACCAACCTTAGCATTCCTAGTCCAAAAAAAAAAAAAAAACTCATTTAACATTCCTAGAAGCAAGATATTTTAGGGGGAGATAAAATCAATTGAAAAGTCTACAAGAAGGTTGGTGGAGTTCAACAAAGAATTATGTAGAATTGTTAAAGTGCATGAATAGTCTAGAATTGCTAGATTTTTTTGTGTAATATTGGCAAAACTTTGGTCCAAACTACAACTGGGATAAATAGTTGAAATGCTATATGTGTGGCAGGAGTGCAGTCACATTGAGCTCTTTTGAGTCAAATAACATTAACTTATTATTAGATATAACTTTGAGATGGTTAATACATTTAGTATTAACCACTCAATATTTGTATCTTAGAAAGTAAGGGAAAAGGAAGAAGATTACTAAAATGTAAGAAGCTTTATTAGATTCTTCATGTTTGAAAATTCTTGTTAATGTTACTAATTTTAAGTAGAGGAATCAAGTTTAAATATCAAAATACTTTGAAAGTTTATGAATTTGAGTACCTATTTATATCTGTTGAATTAAGTTTTTATATCTAATCTTCATGTATGGAATGTAAAGTTGTGTTAAACTAATTTCATCTTTTCAATTTAATTAAAATATATTAATCACACTCTTGATATCAAATTTCACCTTTATAATTACAATTTTTGGTATTAAAATAATTTTTAATTTATCTCTAACCAAGTTTACTCATCTTTTTCATTTAAAAAATATTTCACACTTTTTTTTATTAGATAACCAACAAAATTTAAGTTTACCAGAAAAAGAAAAAACAATTTTAAAAAGGTGAAAATGTAACTTTTGAGGGAGTCAAGAAAAGAATAAAACTTTATTTTCTTTTCTTTTTTTTCTTTACTCAACAAATAAATAAATAAAATAAAATAAAATAAAAATATTTTGATAATTATGTCAAAAATAATAATAATAAGTAAATACACAAATAAAAAATTTGCTTAAAACATTTAGAGTTTTATAAAAAAAAATTCTTACTAATATTT